AATTAATCGTATAATAAATTAATAAAAAAAAGTAACGTTATAGTATATTTCAAACAAAATTATTGTATCATTAAGGACAGTTAAAGGATTACAATTTCTTTTTATATCAATTTTTTATTTTCCATACAAATTATAAACATGTTTTTCAAATACTGTACATATACTGAATTCTATTATATTTTTAAACCTCTAATTTAATGATATATCATTTCGTTCTTTATTTACTTGTTAAATCAACTACTTTGATCCTCGTTTCATTTTATTTATGATAATATACAGGTAGATCCCATTCTTTCTGATCAATATTTCACTTAATCATTTTTATAATCAAGCTCAATTCTTTGATATGGCAGTTCCAGGATATGAAGGAATATAAATTGCAAGTAGACGTAAACTTTTAATGCTTACAAATAATTTAGTAACGCGTTGCAGGAATTATAGTCGATGTTTTCATAGAGATAGTAATGATTTAAATTAGCAATTTAGAAAATCTAATGTATAAATCAATTTTTCAATATCAAATCAAAATTTTAACTATTGTTGTAAACAATTTATACTTTACTGCTTATTGTAATTTATTTACTAAAAAAATCATTTTTATAATACATGAGTCTCTATGAAAATACAGACGAAAAATTTTAATATTTCTAATTCTGAAGTGTAAAAATTGGGTTCATGAGTTACAAACAAATCACTTTTTGTTCTCGCCAATGTTCTGCATAAAGATGCAGCACATAAAACGTCGTCACTGGAACTTTTCTTTGATGATCTTTATGTAAATATGTACAAAGATATTTAAGATATTTAACAAATTTCGTCGTTTCTTCATCGATCGTATCATGTATTGTGTACAGTGCGAATCCTTCCATTTTTTTTTCCCTAATCTACTTCTGCATTTGTATCTTTATGGATTTCAGTTTTTTTCTTTTTCTGATATCATCAATATAGAGTGAGAGAGTGCTATTTTCTATCTTCACAGAAGACATAGATAAATATATATTTTCGTAATCTTTCCTTATAAATGTAATTCGCTTACTTTAAAATCATTATTCATTAATGTTAATAATATTAGTGTCGGTGCTCCTTTTTGCGATTTCAAACTCCTTCCGTTTTTTCTTGTAATTTCTCGTTGAAATAAAAATTCGCATGATGAAAACGATATATGAGTATCTTTTAAAGATATTGCGTAATTTTTGTTTTTGTAATAATAACGCTTTATCTCGAGTCGAGTTAGAACCATCAAATACGTCTTTGACCAATTAACATTAAACAAAATAATTTTTATCGTCGCATATATTTATTTCCGTTTATTAAAATTTCTTTAAATTACAGAAAAATATCTCTCCATTTTTTTCATAATCTAGCAACTAGTACTAATAAAAACAAATAGTTAAGTTTATTCACAATATTATATAAAATCATCTTGATGGTTCCAATTCCACCTTAAAGTACACACAATTTAGCAAAATTACAATTTATAGATATAATATGTAAAAACGAGACTTACAATCAATTATTACAAAAAAAAAAGAAAAAGGTAACAATAAGTAAAATTTGTGAAATCGTGAAAGCTGCCAGTTATTGAACGAAAGCCACATACATTATTATTTAAATATATAAGTTCCTTCGTTATTCAGTCAATCACTTAGCGAATTCAATTCTCACCCCAAATAAAAAGCGACATATTTCTGACTAAAAGAGAGATCAAAATACATTGCCACTTGTTGCGTAAAAGTTAATTAAAGTAAAGAATACAGTAAGTATTAATTATTTCCTTAAAGTATACATGATTCTTTTCTGTATTATCTTAATATTCACTGCTCCATAGGCAAGTCCTGTTTCGGAACACGCAATTGATCAGATTAAAGAATATGTAAAAAGTTTCCTGTGCATTTACATGTGTTTAGTCTCTGCAAGAGATGTGACGAAATAAAATTAATCGCAAGATTTAATGGTCCTCTACTCTCTTAAATAATCGTCACTGAAATCATGAAACAGTATCTCTATATGAAACTTTTCTGGCCCATATGTTGAAACCTAAAAATGATATTAAGTACGAAACATTGTCAAGCAAGGTTTTGTATGAACTCTGCTAAAAGCATGCTCGAATTTAGAGAGCTGCGATGAAGTCACGCTATTACGTTGTTACTCCTCATTAAAATGGAGAATCAAGTTCAAGCATCAGGGATTTGCTTCATGCTCTTGAACTAATTTCAATATTTTTCAGTCGAAAAGTATTAAGATGATCATATCACCAAGTTAAAGAGAGGAATCTCTTATCACTAGGCTTCGACTACATATCTGATGGACGTTATTCATATCAAGCGCACGCAATCGATAGAATTTGATGTACTCGCTTCGTAAGCGTGTAGTAGAAAGATAAAAACAAACGAAATACGCTAAGTAAGAAAGTCATTCAAGTAAGAACTATAGAAAAAGAAAGAAAAAAAGATCTTAGAGTATGAAATAAAGTGATTACAAGAAATACAAACACATCCCTCTAATCTAAGTGTCGCTGCCTAAGTGTGGGTGGGTTTGCATGACTGTAAGTGCGTTTAAAAGACTGTCTCTTTTAAAAAGTACGTAAAAATCATCAACGTTTTCATTGCTTCTTTTCTTTCATCTGATCATTGAGAATTAAAAAGCTCTACAGCGAAAACTTCTTACCGTTAGTCGTAATACAGCTAAAGAAAAAAAAAAAAAAGAAAAAAACAATTCTACAACAAAAAGCTTAAGGGAAGGTCTCCGTAATGTTACTTTCGACCTTGCTCGGTTTGGATAATTAAAAAAAAAAACAATTATAATAATGATAATGTAACCAAGGAGACTTAAGAAATCATAATGGCATTACCTCTCTATTCAACTTCCATTTCGTTTAAAACTTAGAAATCACTTAGATAACTTTATACACGATCATTTATAACAATGTAAATCGTAATCATTGCATTAATATTTAACATATATATTCTTATATGTAATATATGTTTATCTGTGTGTAGATGTCTTGTTTGATCTATTTCCTAGTTTAATAATAAAACTATAATACTAAATTATGTTGGTACCACGCCTTTCCGAGATCAGAGTCTGTTTCGCATCTTGCTTTTTTTTTTATGCTTTTTCTCGTTTTTTTTTTTTCTTATTCGTTTCGGTACATACACTATATTCATGATTCGCATTTTATTTCCATACCAAATTTATTGTCGTCAATTTCAACTTAACTTTTATTATATCTCTTTTATTAAAACCGCGACGAATTCGATCGTTATACAAGCGAATGACGGAATATTCATAAAATATATATACGATTATATCTGTTTCGATATAAAATTTACAATTTCGTCATCTGGAACATGCTTCCTGCAGAGACCACGAGCAGGAAATCCTTCCACGATACGTTAAAACGCGTACCAATTAATTTTTATTACAACTTCTTTCGGTTTTGAATCAAACTCAAGCTCGGGCTGGCCAGTACTTCTAATGTGTGAAAGTGTTCGTGTGTTCATGTATGCATACGTGTGTAATGTATGTGTATGTATTCGTGTATGAGTTTCAAGTTCTCTTTAAGGAGTTTCACAGAAAATGTTCCTAAATACTGAATGAACAAACAACTAATTTGATTAAAACATGTGATTTGACTAAAAATCAGGTTGAATATCCAAGTTGCAAATAAAATATACGAATATACATAATTGGTCTCGAGTTTATAGGCAGAACATTTTCGATAGAAACTCTGTTACATATAGACACGAAATGTAACTGTGTATAGATTGAGCGTGTTTACAATCATGTATTCACGCTTAACCCTTTGAAGTGTGCACCTAAAAGAAATCTTCAAAATCGTCAATCATTTATGATCGATAAAACGAAGGGGACAAAAAGGGAAAAACAAATTGTATAAGTACTGATATATTTTTAACATGCAACTCAATTAAAATGAAATGTCGCGTTATAGTACATGATATACATATTGTATTTATCTTGCATGTAAATACTGTATTTATAACAGTGATAAAGGGTGAAAATAGTGACGATATAACGAAATAAAAGAAACTTAAAAGCCCGGTATGGTTGTGCAAAATAACCACGACGCTTCAAAGGGTTAACATTTTTGTGTGTAATCGTGTATATGCGCGTATGGATGATTTTTTTTAATATGATGGTAGGCACTGATGGGGGTGGATGGCTGCATGGCGAGCAGGTTCAAGCAGGCTAGTCCTTGATCAATCTGTATATGTGATGCTGTGCACCGTGTTCGGACGTCGACACCTCGAACACATATGCTGTGCACAGTAACGTTTCCTGCGTATCCCTGTTCGTAACAACCTGCAATTTAAGAAAAAAGAAATTATAAGCGATACTTGGTACGAGGAATATAACTCTTAAGGGCTATATCTACTTGGAGGGGTAGAAAATCGATTTCAAAAATACATTTAGAAAATTTTAGATCGATATTTTCAAAATTAGTACAATTGTATATATCGTAACAAAATGAAAAATTAGAAGGACCAGAGAACTTCTATATTTTGTTTATCTTTACAATCCATTCGATTTTTTGTTTTCAACTGAATTGTTTGGTCTGAATAATGTCCACCAGCGAACGCTTAAAAAACGAACATAGCCTGCTGTTATTATTTTTTCATGACCGAATTATTTTTTTAAAGAATTTCTTATTTTTCTACCGATCATCATAATGGATACCAAATTGAGATCACGAAAACGTTAATTATTGATATTTTTTTACAAAATCTTTTATAAAAATTTCAGCGCATCAAATCAATAAATGTATCCTTTGGTAGTTTTTGGTAGAGAAAATGTTGATTTAATTTTCATTTGTATCTCGAAAAAAAAAAATTCCTGAATTTGTACCTTGTTTCTTCGGGTCTTTGGCTAGATGTAATTTTGTAAAGGGCATTGAAGTAGTATATAAAGCGATGTTTTTCCGAGTATTGTTGCAGGCTGCGCATTATAAACGTACGAATATTTCATAAATATTTTGCAATAATCGTACGAGAAATTTATAATGTAGCTTAAGAAAAATTATGTGTATCGTGCTTCAACGAATGTCGCGAAATTCTACTTCATTATGAATAGAAACATCGTGTCTTTGCACACAAGAACAAAGATAGTACAAAGGTTTGCAATTTTGCTTTTATTTAAATTGAGGATAATTTCATAGTTATAAAACGCAATGTAAAAATTTGTAGAATCGTTGTTAGACTATTGATTGTTTTGCGCCACGAATTATCCAAAATATACTTCACCACTCAATTAACTGTATAATCATTATTGGTCGCTTTCATTATTGGTATGAAACTCAAAACATGAAAATTACGCGAGAGATAAATGTATGTATACACAAAGAGAATCTTATTTAAGAAAACGAAGTTGCTGCATCCTGTCGTTGATATATTCGTAACATTTGATAGAAACGTTTCAATAGAAGAATATACGAATGTCAGATGAGGAAAGTGTAATGATATTAAAAAGTACACGTGATCAAAATACAAAATTTCGTAATTTTGTTCCCTGTAATTCTAGCTCTAGACAAACACGAACAAAATACACTGTTAGGTTTTCTGTAGAAACGGTTTATGGCACGATCGACCGGGAACGGTTATTTTTGAGTTGAGGATTTTCGTTTATTGCTTGCACGGGTCTAATTACATCCTGCGAGGGTCACTAGAATTGCTTTGCTAGATTTTTAGTAATTTGTGTCCCTCGCGCTCAATAGCCTACGAACATACCATAAACCACGAATTTCCGAACGGCACATCTGTATGCAACGGTCCGCTTGCCGATTAGTCACCCGGAGGAAATTCCAGATTTTTGGAACCTCCGCCCACCCCTCGCGACCGTCACCCACCCTTCCAAGGTGACAGCGCGCTAAGGGCGCACTGGCGTATGCAACGGTCCGCTTGCCGATTAGTCACCCGGAGGAAATTCCAGATTTTTGGGACCTCCGCCCACCCCTCGCGACCGTCTCCCACCCTTCCAAGGTGACAGCGCGCTAAGGGCGCACTGGAAGGGCGGTAAAGACGATATTAGACACGCTGATTGACAAATGCAATCGTTAACCATTAACCAATCATCGTGTCCCAACGAAAATCCCACTCACGGACGTCCTCGACGCGACGTCGGAGAGTTGAGTCGTCGAATAGTCGTTCAACCACCACGAACAAGAAGAACCAAAGAGCAACCAGCTCACATCACGCGATACCATAGATCAGTTTTTACAAGTCCCAATGATTTGGGTGGCCCTTCGAACATCGTGCAAACATCCACAAAGCTCGAAAGTTCATCGCCACAACCACGGGCATTAACATACACAGGAGTAATAGTTAACAATGTTATATAATTAAACCCGTAGGCGGTGAGATCGAATATATCCGCCGGAATAAATTCTTTGTACAATTATTTCAGTTAAACACATCTATCACTATAGCTTATTTGTATTTTAAATACAGACAGTGTCTTGAAATAATTTGTACATTTAGGCAGCTAAGCAGTTATGTTCGTGTTCCAAGATTTGATTATCGTAATCATTGGTTTCAAGCGTTTCATAAAGGAAATGAGAAAGAGGGGTTATTCCAAGAAGAATATCGTACCTGGAGAATGGTGAAATTCTCGAGAACGCTGTTCATCATGTACTTTTCCGGCAGGTGCTTCAATTTGTGTATGAAGTTGATCATGTACTCGCACATGGGTGAACGGCTAATACGATAGACGAACCTGCCATTTTCGAACCTAGCGTATTCCGTCTCCACTTTTTCCACCACCTGTTTTCCGAAAGAGCAGACTTTGGTCGAACACGTTATCGTCATGTTCTCGTTGCTCTCGTATCTGTAAAAAACACCGGTTTCATTATACAGATTCAATATTGATATCAATGGACGAATGTACACAAACGTCCACGATGGTCTTAAATATTTCATTCGTAGTTTGAGAAATTTTCAAAATAAAATTGTCTAGAATAAAGGATATTTACAAGTAAATGGATGGAGAAGCAAGTATAGCAGAGCCTCCCGTATCCGCACCCCCATTATCCGAATACTGTAATATCCGAACGTTCTACGAAGGTGGATTGAAAAGTTCGCGGCCAAAGTGGGAAGAACTGCTGCTAGGTACTTGCAATTTTTACGGTGTAATCTGTGATCATTTGTGTGCCGACGTACGAAGTTTCGTGGCTCTGTCAGTTGTTTGTTCTCTTTTACAGCTGGTGACGTAGGGGTGTTTACAGCGACGGAGAAGAGACGAATAGAAGCGAGGAATGATCCAGTACCTGGTGACAAAGGACATCACCGCAAGGACCTTGAATGATTTGAGAAAAATGACGAGACACGAAACTGTATACATTAGTACACAATTAATTACATATTATTCGGTAAAAATTACAAGCACTTAGCTGCAATCCTTCATACTTAGGCCGTGAACTTTTCAATCCACCCTAGTATTATCCAAAGTTCTGTTACCCGAACAGTCGTTCCGTAGTGATTTTTACATACAATCTTATGTACACTTTCCTGTATTCGGTCAAACAAAAAGAACGTAACTCTACACATTTATTTATGTTAAAACAAACTTATGTGATTTAACAGCCAAAAAGAAATGGGATCCTTAAATACTGAAATAAAGTGTCAATTATGTTGATCTCTATTTGAGCAAATAAACTTTAATATAAACAAAAGTGATTGTTCTATTATCCGAAAGTTCTCTTATCCGGCCACTTTTGTCTTCCTATTAATACGGATACGGGAGGCTCTACTGTATTCATGAACAACAGTGTACATACACGAGTTTGTCAGCTATGTCGATAGTCCTTACTGAATGCATACAGGATGGGATAGGATCGGTAGTACAATCATGCACAGGATTATTTTTTTATGAAAAAGTGAATTGAAAATGCGGAATAAATGTATAGATCGTCTACTTTTTAGCTTCACGCAAAGTATTGATTAATTACAAAACTTTCTACATTTCGCGTTTTTGAACTGATTTTAACAAACTAATCATTGCACCTTTACTTCTTTTACCTAAATTGTACAATTATATCGTTATGACTTGAATGAATATTTCGCTTTAAATATATATTTGATTTTATTCACGCAGTATAAAACTCCACTTATCGTTTAAAATGGAAGATTTTGCTGTAAAAAGGAGGCAACTTCGTAATATTCTGAAATGGGGCAACTCCAACTTTTGAAAAATTAATCTGCCACAGAGGAATGATATATTTACTTAGTAATAGTAATAATCCTGTGATAATATGTAGATTTTAAGTGGATAAACTACTTCGAACATACATGTCTAAAAATATTTTGTTAACATACTTGGAGCTACCCCTTTTCTGTCGAAAAGTCTTAAATTGCTTACTTTCCAATGCAATTCTTCGTTTAACTGAGTTGCTTTTTGCTCCGATCATGGAAAGTACATAATTCTAAGAGAATCTTTTCAATAAAACTGAATTCTTGATGGCAAATTGTAATTTGTCATTATTGGCTACATTAATTTTAATTTTTCTATACATACAAGGAATTATAGTTTGTTGCTACTTCGATTATTTTAATTTCATTGAACTTTCTCATTACAATTTTCATACAATCACAGCTGAAATTTTGAATAGAAAAAAAAAAATTCTGCTTCTACTTTTTTAAATTTATTTCAAATGGAATGTACACCACTAAATAGGTGTTACAGTTGTTGATTGATTAACTGTAATTTGTTCCTAGTAACAACATAACCAGTTAACTCGTCGCGTGAAAATTTCCCTCCTTTTTCGAATAAATTGTTTATTCCCCTATAATAAGCGTAGCAAAAGTAATATTCAAACATAATCATGTCTGCTGCAGAGAAAATAAATTAACTCGCCCTCTGAATTTTCGACAAAAAAAAATGTTTCTAAATTCGTCCAATTTCTTTACATCTCTGAATTAACTATAATAAGACGTTCTGTCTTGAACAGACTGAACAATTCGTTACTTACTGGCTTGTTACACCGTAAAAGGCTCCAGCTTCGTCCTGGATGTTCGTATTGAGATCAGCCCAGAATTTAACAAGGAAGAAGGCCGCCTGTGGTCCCTTGTCGTAAAGTTCCTTCAGGCCACCCTTTTTCTCTGGAAATTTGTCGTATATCTGCCTGACATCAACAGCCTCTAGCAATGGATCCGCGTATGTCGTGGATCCTTCTATGTGGACGAACAGGTGTTTCTGGTACTGTAAAGGAAGAAAACGGAAAAAAACTATTCGAACGTTTGCTGGAGTGAAATTGCGACTTCCGGTCAGCGACGCGTAACCTGATCGGTCGGACTATTAAACTTATGAAGGCCATTAGATGTAACAAGGGTAATTTAGTCTTCCTTCGAGCGCTAAACGTCGGCCCCCGGCCCTTTACCGAGAACTCGAAACGAGGAAATAACAATTCGACTTTACTGCGTCTACTTCGTACAGATGGAAAAAAGCTCTCCTTAACTGGAGTATAACGTTGAACCTGCGGCCTGTTAAACAATCTGCAACCATCTCTCGTCACATTTTCTTTGCACTAGGGCTGGAGCTTGAACCGAGATCTTGCGAAAAGGATTAGCGAGAGATTTGAATGGTAATGGTGCAAGTGTTAATTGGACATTGAGGCGGTAAATTGTTTCGAAGTGAAATTGAAATTTTATGAGGCGAGTAATGAAAGATAATGACGGAAGTTCAATTCTTTTCACACAAGTTTTACAATATTACCGTAGCATTTCTATTCTGCTGTTTGTTTGAGTAGTTCTCAATTGATGTTTCGAACAGTTATTGGTGTAAGCAAAGTTTGGAAGAGCTTAATCATAAAGTAAAAACAACATTAGTGAATATGTTTATTTAATGTATTATATATTTCCTAAATGATGAATATCAAGCCCATGCTATATAAATTACATTACAAGAACAAAGAACAGTACATATAAAATATAATATAAGTACCATGGTCGTTACAAAATGCTTATAATATTGAGATAAACAAAAATTAACATTTTCGCAGCCGTTGACGTGGTATTAGGTATATTTTTCACGAACTATATCTGGTTGCCTGTAATTTCACATTTTTAATAACAATACATTAGTTTCAAGGTAATCGAAATGAATATAGTACGACAAATAATCAGAAAATTGAAAAATTCCTATAAGTCTTGCAGAATTCTCTTACATAGAGGCAACTCTGCCTTGCAGAATTATGATACCAAAGAGAAATACTAAATCAAATGGCAATTTGTTAAATTTCGCGTAAAAGTATCTGGCTGGTCAAA